AACTGAAGCCCCCAACTTTAAACTGGGCCCTTTCGGGCAGATATAAAGACATTAGCGGGGAGAGAGAAAGGGGAGCCGGTTTTTGGAGAGGAAATAGTTTCTTTCTCTAGGATTTCGACCCACAAACACCAAAGGGGAGTTCTAGTTAGAGAGAGTGAGTTCTTGAGTGATATGGAGCTTAATTGAAGGCATTGATCAAGCTTAGAAGCAAGGAATCAAGCCTAGAAGAAAAAGAAGAAGAAGATATTGTTCTCCAATTTTTAATATCTCTCCTCTCTCTCTAGATACTCACCCTCATCTCTTGGATTTAAGAACCCTAGATCTAGATTTTGATTGGGTGTTGTTGTATGTGACAATCCCATGTTTGATTGAGTTTATTATCTAAGTTATGGATGTTTTTCATGAATGACATGAGTTTGGATTCCATTTTCATGTCTTGATATTTTGACATAGGAGTGAGAAAATCCCCTTAGAGCCCCTTTCTTGGTCCCTTCGGGTCACTCCTCACCCTATATCGTCCGGGTAATCCTCGAGGGAGTCGATTGGAACGAGCTCCTATGATATAGGGGTGCCCTAGGTTGAATAGAGCACCACCCTTCCATTACTTTGCCATTCCGGGTCCGTCCCGAAGGATTACATCTCCTAATGGTAGGATAGTGATTCGATCAAGCTAGGATGGCACTCAACATCAATCCTACCATAGAGCTAGGAGGATTCAACCCAAGAGAGCTCCCAACCTTGTAAATAGCTAGGTTAGTTAGTTTAATTCGTCTAATCACCATCCTAGGTTGGCTAGATAACGAACCCTACGTTTTGTGCTTTATTTACCCACTCTTCGCTTTTAAGGGTGGTTTGTGTTAGTTTGATTTTGTTTTTCTCGTTGTAGGTTGAATCATGGAACCTAATGGCTTCTATAATATGTGGGGGTATCCACAGAGCTTCATGGAGCAAACAAAAGGGTGGAAGCCAAGGAACCGGGTTCTATGATCAACCTCCCTTCCAAGAGGAAGAAGTATACCATTGGGGAATTCAAAAATCTTTCCCATATGAAGAAAAGTTCCCTCCACAACCCGAGGAGAAATCCAATTTGGATTTGGCAATGGAGTCCTTCATGAGGCATTCTTCAAGACCAAGTGCCACTCTGCAACCAGAACTAAAGAGCGAGTTAGAGCTCATGGTGGAGCGGTTTGCTCAAGGCACCGATGAAGGGTGCTAGAACTTGGATCTCCCCCAACCCTAAGTGAAGTCCAAATTGGAGCTTTCCGTGGAGAATTATGAAAGAATAAGCTCCAAGATGGAATTCCAACCCCTCCCTCCTCCCGGTTTGACACTAGAAGAGAAGGTGGCACAATCTTGTGCAAGCTATCGCCACACATCATTGAGGAGAAAGAAGAGGTAGAAGGAGCTATCAATGAAAACCGTGTGGAGCAAGACGAACTCACCCTGGAGAGCTCCCGTGGTGAGGATGAACAAGAAGGTTGCATTGATGACTCTCATCACTTGCCCCTTCCCGAGAAAAAATTTGAAGACCAAGTAACTAGTGTAGAGGAGCAAAATAATCCTTTATGGCATCTTGCCCTTTAAACCATACTTGAGGATATGAATGGGAAGGAGAAGGAAGAGGTGGAAGAGAGCATCAAAGTGGAGGAAGATCTTGATTGTTCCCAATGAGAGGAACACATTGAAGAAGAAGGAAGGGAGGTTGAAGATGAAGTAGAAGGAGCAAATGGTGTCCAAGATGAGGACGAGGTCAAGGTTGATGACGCATCCACAAGTTACAAGTGCTATGAAAGATTTCCACCCAACCTCAATTCACTTTTGGAGAAGGACCTGCTTTCGGCTCTTTACCAAGCCAAGGCCAAACCATCGGCGATCCCTCTTGGTGGATGCGATGGTGGTAAATCAATGATGTACTACATAGTATGGGGCAAGGGGAAGAAGGAAGAAGGAAAGAATAAGATGTCTCGTGGGTGGAGCCTCATGCTAACTTAAGTTCACGAGCCCTCAATCTTGGACTCGTCTAATGCTTGTGACTTGAGACATCACCTTACCGACGAGAACCTCAACTTCAAGGAGGTCCTTGGGTGGACCGAAACTTGAGTAGCAACCGTCTGACTCATGATGTTAAAAAAGCTCTTGGTTGGAGGCAACCTAACCATCATCGGTTTGCATTTCTTTTCCGTTTCAATAAGACGCCCATTGGAGAGATTTTGGTGGTGTGTTGCCATCTTTTTGCTCTTCTGGATCTCACCCTCCTCCGCTCCTAATCACCAACATTCACAACTTGACTGGTAACATCGTTCTATCTCCTTCTTCTATTATGTTTGTGTGTCAATGATTATGTTTGTGTGTGAATGATTGGTGTGATTTTGAATGCTTGGATCCTTGCTGTATGCCCAAATTTTAAAAAAAATTGGTGTCCAAACATAAAAACTTCTACATTTGCATGATCATAGTGACACCTTTGATGATTTGTTTTGAATCTCGTAGGTATTAGCATGATTTGCTTTTGATTGTGTGCATCCTATTATGATGATTGAGACTTGTATTAGGTTTGCGCATAGGTTTAGTTCTCATATGTTTCTGAACTGATGTGTTTTGAATCGATTACTTGCTTTTTACAGTTGCCTATGCATTGAGTTTAGGGAGTTTGAACGAATGATTGAGCACCTCGGTAGCCATGTGAGACTTGTGTCGTTCGTTTCATTCTTGTGCGAAAGATCCCCCTTTACATGATGTGTAGCATTCAAATTATTGCTAGCAAGGAAGATGGAGGCATAGGTTTAGCCCAGGACCCAAAAGTTGACCGACCTGATCATTTCATCCCCTAGTCAGCCCCCTTTGAGTCGTGTGTCTAAGGGTCGTTCTCATTTTAGGTAGCTCGGGCTACTTGAGGATGATTGATTTAGATAGAACAACCCTACTTTCTTCGTGTCTACACTGTTATCGAGTCAACCTTGTGTTTGGAAGCTCTATTCATACAATTTGAGCCTAAACGAGGTTCCACATGTGTGATTGGTGTATGGTTTTGCTAAACATGAAAAGTGAGTGTTGGAGGAACTTCTTAAAAAGTGATTATCGTTCCTTAGTTCTAAAATGTGGCATGTGTATATAGCTCTCTATATCCCTCAAAGAAAAGAGAAAAGAAAACGAAATCAATAAAAGGGCAAAGAAGAAAAGAGAGTGGCCACCCAAAAATATAATAAATGTTGACATGCTCTTAGAAGTGTTTCTTGGCATGCAAGCTATAGAAATATGTTGTTGACCTCTACACTCTTGTGCTTGAAATTGACTAGCAAATGTAGAAAGAAAGTATGTATGACTTGGTTTAGTGATTGGTTGTGGTTTAGAATTGAGGGAAGTGTGGTTTTTGGCAATTGTTAGTGGTCATTGTTTTTTGAGGAAGTTTCTAGATCGAAACCATATAAACTTTTGTTGGTTTTAGGTTGAAGATGTGGAATCTCATGTTGTGTTTGCCACTACTCAAAAAGCCTTTTACCCATGTCCTAAACCCTAGCCAGTCATTTAAACCTGTGTCTAAGACATCTGAACAAGCTAGCAACGACAGCCATCTTGTGAGCTCTAGCATTTAGAGGCTATCGTCATGGTAAAGGGACGTTAGGATTGAGTGTGAATATGCACATCTTTTGCATCAAATGGTCCTGACCCCACTGGTCGAGAGTGAGTGATTCACTCATCATGTTTTTTTTCATTTCTTATACCCCGGTGAGGACCAAGGTTGCTCGATCGTTCATTCCTATGATGTGATCTTCATGTATGAGTATGAGTAACTATGATTGGTGAGTAGTCAAGGCATGTTGTGTGTTGGTTGATGAATAATGTGAGAACTCTTCATTTGCACAATCTTAATACAGTTGAATGTCGTTTGTGGTGGTTCCCATGATTACTTTGTTTTTGTCCATAGGTCGGTGTCAAATAACCATTGTGATTCATTCGTTTTGTGCCCTATGACATGGCCCAAAACAATTTGGTTAAAAAAGAAGTTGTAATCTTACCTTGTTTTGTACGGGGTTTGCTTGGGGACAATCAAACGTTCAAGTGTGGGGGAGTGATTGTTTTATAGATCACCATCCCTCGACCTATTTTACACTAGGTTGTGCTTGTTTTGTTACATTTTAGGTCTTGGCACGAGTGGGAAGGTCCTAGACGAGTTTCGAGTCATTCGTAGGTCAAAACGAGCCAAAATATGGAGGATGAGCCCTGTTCACGGGCTGGAGCTTCAGTTCACGCTCTCTAAGACCGTGAAGTGACCAATTTCCATAAAGGTTTTGCAACTTACTAGCCTCAAGTCAGTTCACGGTCTAAGACCGTGAACTGAAGCCTCTGGCCGTAAAGTGGGCCCTTTCGTGGAAATATAAAGTCAGCAGTGGGGAGAGAGAAAGGGGAGCTGGTTTTTGGAGAGGAAATAGTTTCTTTCTCTAGGGTTTTGACTCAAAACCTCGAAGGGGAGTTCTAGTGAGAGAGATTGAGTTCTTGAGTGATCTTGGAGCTTAATTGAAGGAATTGATCAAGCTTGAAAGCAAGGAATCAAGCCTAGAAGAAGAACAAGATCTTTTGCTCCAATTTGCAATATCTCTCTTATCTCTCGAGAAACTTACCCTCTTCTCTTGGGTTTAAGAACCCTAGTTCTAGATTTTGATTGGGTGTTGTTGTATGTGATAAATCCATGTTTGATTGAGTTTATTATCTAAGTTATGGATGTTTTTCATGAATGGCATGAGTTTGGATTCCATTTTCATGTCTCGAGCTTTTGACCTAAGAGTGAGAAAATCCCCTTAGAGCCCCTTTCCTGGTGTCTTCAGGTCACTCCTCGCCCTATATCGTCTAGGTTATCCCCGAGGGAGTCAATTGGATCGAGCTCCTATGATATAGGGGTGCCCTATGTTGGGCCTTTCGTGGAGCACTTGGTGGGCAACATTCACACTCCACAAATTCATAAAGATAAAGACACCCCAAGGCCTCCAAACACACATGCACAATCATAAGAATACATTTTATGATCCTATTTCACTAGCCATGCCATACCCTTTCCATAAGTAGCTTAATTGGAAGACCAAGCTAACACACATGCTCAACACAACAAGAATTCCAACAATTCCTCAAGCAACTAGATAGTTTCCAACAATCATGCATATAATACTTGACATTGAAGGGATTCATTCACTAACTAAAATTATAAAAACCACTTTAAACAAAATCAAACATGCAAGTTTATTTTTAAAAATTAAGGAAATTCAAACCGGTTGTTGGAGTATCTCACAAATAGTGCGTCTTTCAAGTCGTATCATCGGATGATTGTCTTCAAGTATCCGGTCCAACTTTGAACCTCCTTGAGGTTTAGGTTCTTGTTGGTGAGGTGGTGTCTCAAGTCACTAGCATTGGACGAGTCCATGATTGAGGGCTCGTGAACTTGAATTGTCATGAGGCTCCACCCACGAGTCCTCGCCTCCTTTCCTTCATCCCTTTTCTCTTTGCCCCACCCCATGTAGTGCACACTTAATTGAATTTCATCGCATCCATCAAGAGGGATCCCTGATGGTTTGGCCTTGGCTCGGCAAAGAGACGCAAATGGGTCCTTCTCCAAAAGTACATCGAGGTCGAGTGGAAAGCTTTGATAGCACTTGTAACTTGTTGAAGCTTCATCCACAACAATCTTGCCCTCATCATGGGCACCATTTGCTTCTGCAACTTCCCTTCTCTTTTCTTCAATTCGTTCCACCAGTTGGGAACGTTCAAGATCTTCCTCTTCTTTGAAGCTCACTTCCTCTTCCACAACCTTCCTTCTCGCCTTTGACCTCCTTTCCTTTTTCTTCAAATGGTATTTTTTTTTTTGAAGAAGTTGTGCACATGCTTGCTTGACAATCTCTCCTATTCTCTCTGTTTTTCGGAGGAACTGCTCCGTTGACCATAGAAAAGATGAGTCGCTAGGAGTGGTGGCTAAGGATTTCACCTCAGAGCTCGCTTCGGTATCTCGGATGAACCACTCCACCATGAGCTCTGATTGGCTCATCGATGATTGTGGAGTGTAGCATGATTGTTCCATACTTGAGGAGGCTCCATCGAGTCCCCGCGTAAACCGCTCCACCAAGAGTTCCAATTCGCTTCTTGGTTCCGGTGGTGGAAGGAAATCTTCTTGGAATGAGGAAGCCTCTTCATATCTCCATGGATATGGTTTTTCTTCTTGGAAGGGGGGTGGTAAGAGAATCTGAACCCTTGACTTCCACCATGTTGATTGTTCCATGAAGCCTCGAGGTAACCATTTTCGAGTATTGATGAATACCCCCACACTTTGGTGAAGTCATAAGGATCCATGATTTAAAAGCTTCTACACAATGAAAACTCTAATAAGGAAAATAAAACACACAAACCACCCTTCGGGGAGAAGAGTGGGTGAAAAACAAAGCACAAAAAGAAAACAAACACGAAAATAACAAAAACACAAACAAGAACGCAAAATAAAACAAACAATCAAAACAAGATAAAGACTAACTAACAACTGAATGGTTTTCTACTAGTTACCAAGGTTCCCCGCCAATGGTGCCAAAAAGCTTGATCACTTCAAACCGTGCATATTATTGTCAATGGTTAGCACGTGTCAACAACAACCCCATCCCAAGCCAAGTTTAACCTAAGATGACATTTTTGTATAGTGGTAATCAAGTTCGTATTTTACTCGGGTCCTGATACCCTAGCCTACTTCCCACCTTGTTGCTAATTAGTTAATCGATTTTGGAGGTTTGAGTGGAGGACTTGAGAAGATAACTAGACTCGAGATTGATCAAATCTAAAAGCAGGTACTTCGGGGAACTAATCCTCCCCAAGCTTAGGGTTACTATGCATGCATAAATACTTAGGGTTATCGAATGTGGTGAGTGAGCTCTTTTCCATGGGCTTTCGGGGTTATCCGCACGCCGCTAAGTACGCCTCCCCTAAAACCATATAAAGTCACCTCGATCTAGGCTATTGTATGTGGGGCATTAAGCTCGTAGCTCCTTTCAATGTATACTATCCAACTTCCACACCGAGGTTTTATCCCGGGTTCTATCTAGGAAGGCTAACCTACGGTGGGGGTTCGGCCCTCGACTACCATAGGTCCCTATTCATACATCTATCTCGATTTGCTGATGGCGCATACCCGTCTAACCTTAGAACTCCATACCCAGTGTAGAAGCATGAAGTAGGCTAATATAGAAGATTAGGGTGACTTACCCAAACACAATCAAAGATAGAATAACTATAGAATCAACTAGATAAACACATTCGTTAACGAAACCATAAAATATTCAAACATACATAATAAACCCTAAAACTAGGGTTTGGGGTTTAGAACCTCTAGTACCTTAGAGGACTACTCCATAAAGGAGGGAAGAAGAAACATAGAAGAAATTGAAGAAGACTTGGGCCGAGGAAGATGATCCCTCTCTTCTAGCTCATTCTTCCTTATCCTTCCTTCAGCTTCTCTCTCTTCTCTCCCACTAAAACCAGAAATTTCTCTCAAAATAAGCTCATCTAAAAGGGTGAAAGGAGTCTTCTATTCATAGGCAATCTGAAGAGTTCGTGGCCAGAAGCACAGAGATCGCGGTCGTGATCTTCAGAAGTGAGGCCGCTTTCTTGAAACGTCGTCGTCTTGGCCTTCAAAAATGAGGAGATCCCCGGATGACTTCACGGTCGCATCCACGAGTCGCAGTCGTGATCTTATTCTTCGTCAAATAGTCTCGTGGTCGTGATTCGACTGGGGAATGTCTTTGTTTCTCCTTGGCTCTTTCCTCGTGAAGTTTGCGCCCTGGGTCCTCCAATTCGCGGGCGCGATATGGGGTTTCCAGCCCGCGATCTTCAGCTTGAGCTCATGGTTTATGTTCCCGGCCATTTTCTTCAGCTTCCAGGCCACGACCTTCAGCTTCCTGCCCCCTGGATACACTTGTGAACTTGTTTTGTACCTAGTTCACATATATTGTCTAATACTCTCTAAGATCACATCGAATTCAAATATGATTAAAATAGAGATGCAATCGACAATGTTCAAGCAATTATGCACATGAATTGGCATGAAACAAACTTTGGTACGAGTGTTAAATAACACTAATTTAGGTGTTATCAATATGTTGTTGTTGCACCTAACCAAACAATTGCACGTGTTCGAGTTCTAGCCAATACTAGCTTTCACATGGGAAGAGTGGGATCAATGGAAGCGCAATTGGTTGTGTCATGTGAAGCTGTTGTGTTGTTGATGTTGTTGAATGTTGAGTGTCAAGTTGTTGCAACTGCCATTTTAGTTCATAAATAGAAGCATCCAAATATTTCTTGTGAAATTTAGAATGTTTTCCCTTTGTTGTCAATCTGACACTCTCGTTATCTGCTTCTGTTCCATTGCTGCATATATTAAGTACTTTCTTTACCAGTTTAGGCGAACTATTAAGCATTATCTTCGTAATCTTTTCAGTGTGATGTTTGCTCCTTCCATCGCAAGTCACCAACACACTACTGATAGGCATACCAGTCAAGAATTACCTTAACAGTAACCTACTCACAATTTATTACAAGATGATATTGCTACAACTTAAGTCCCCACGAAGTAACCGTGGGTGTTTATTCTAGTTTTGATAAAATTCAAATAAATATATTCGTTAAAAAGCAATAGTATGGTGACATAGTTGTCAAACCGTGGTATAGCGGTTGGTACAATTGGGTCTAACTATTATCGACACAAAACTGTTTGCAATACTCTCGATGTGAAGTGGTGGTCAATATCAGTTAAAATTGGAAAAACTGATGACTCGATTGATATGGCCAATTAGTGTCCTTAAACTAAATGATTTCATTTTGGTGAATTTAACTAAAAAACATTATATTTAAATATGAGGCTTTTTTATTTTGTTTGTTATGTGTATTTTATTTAAATATGAATGCTGATATTTTTAGGATATCCATTTTACTTATGTTGTTTAGCTAATTGATCAAAATCAGATAAGTTTGAGTTGTAAAAAAGGTAATATATAGGGATCGCAGAATAACTCATGATTCTAGGTACCCAATCGAATCCGAATTGATTTTGTTGAGATAAATTATCTTTGGATGTTATTTTCCCAAACTCGACAAGAAGGGCAATGAGTTTGCTGCCCTATTGATATTTTAAGTATTCACATGAATCCACGCTAACTTGTATTATAACTATGTTTTACACTCACTTAAATACTTAATTCATTCATACCCCTCAAACATTATAACTATATCTTATATCTCAAATTTTACTCATATTCTCTCAAATTTATAAACAATGTTACGACCCATAATTTTTTTAACTAATAATGCGACAACGAAGTTTCAATTAACATTGACATTCTAAGAAAATATTTTGATTATATCAAGAATTTTATATATGATTGTCCAGAGATTGTGCGAGTGGGTTTACCCAAACTACATACGGTTTGTTTATGTTATAATACATTCCCGCATTATTTTGGTTATCAGAATGTTTACGATTTTAAAACCATGATTCGAGGATGGTATACAGAAAAACCAACCACAATCAACTTGTCATCATCCCTGGTTATATAGCTATCATATAACAAACCAGAAATCATCTCTTTACGCCAATATTTTCTTCCAAAATGCACAATTAGCTTCGTATCTCACTACAATTAACTTAGTATCTCACGTAAAAGCCAATTGGACGTTTTGAACGAAAATATTGATAGAAAGACACAAATCACTATACGTATGTATCATTTGGTAAGGGTGTACAAAACATTTACTCATATTTTTCCAACATATGTTCATGAGTATTTTTTTTTTTTTTTTGCATGATAGGTGGTTGTGCCAATATAATTATCTACCCAAGAAGACAGAATACAGGGGAGAGAAACAGGCAGTTAAGAAGGGGGTTGTGCCACTACTTGGCGCTGAAAAGCAATCCTCGTAACATCATCTTGAAGAATCCTCGCAATCTACTTGGCAGTTAGCCAGTTCATACATACCATATCAAGAACGTGGCTCTATTTCTTTTCAGTATGTATGAAGTATGCTAAAGAGTAATTCCTGAGCTACTCTTCTCCTGATCGAGGCCAAAAGAGCCGAATATGGATGGACCGGTTCCTGCATATGATTAATAAGTTGGATAGCTAGTCGAGAATCAATATCAAGAAAGAAACGATAATGTTGCATCCCTGCTTCCGCGCAAGTTTCAAACCATGTTAGATCGCCCACAGCTCCACCAAAACGGCCGAAGCCTCTCCAATCTTGGCGACATAACCTGTGATCCATCTACCTAAGCATCACGAATTAAGCTGCCAGCACCCGCTAACCCGGGATTACCTGTCGAGGCCCCATTAGTATTCAGCTTAAACAACTCTTCGGAAGGAGCATGCCACTGGACGCTATTTCGTAACTCGGGCTATCTAATTCCCTATCCTTATGTCAGCAAAAGTGGGGGATAACCAGGACTTGTACCACATGAATGTTCCACGCACAACCATTCCTAAAAAGGTTAGAAGCTTTATTAAAGCTTCTCCAGGCAAAGGAACTTCCCTGACTAGGCCGAAAGATGTTCAAGCCATCCTCCTGCTTTCCACACAGCACCGCCTCCTTTGTTACGGGTGTAAAAACATAATTGACCATTTTGATCAAATACTCAAATTTTTGTCAATATAATTATGTTCAGTAGTTTTTTTTTCATCAAAGGAGGTCGTAGCCAAGAAGACATGATATAGGAGAGAGAAACAAACAGTTAAGAAGGGGGTTGTGCCACTACTTGGCGCTCAAAAGCAATCCCCATAACAGCATCTTGAAGAATCCTTCAATTTCTTTTGGCGGGTTAGCCAGTTCATACATATCGTTGGGTTAGTGATTCGCTATGACACAACTCCTAACAAAGGCCAAGTGTAACCAATGGAAGGGACTACAGTATACTGGATCAAGTAATAAATATCGAATCCACAGGTCTCTAGAGTTACTATTACTCAGCTTCAGTTCATTATCTAGCAAACCAGATTAAGATGAAAGAACTAAAACTACTCTAACAAACTACAGTTAAAGTTAATCTAATTACATGTTGGGAACTCACTTAGGTATGATTCCCCCTAGCCACTAGCCAGATTAATGATTGATGATCTCTAACCTGTTTCACTTTTATTCACAATGCGGAGAATCCTTGACTAGACCTTGAGTCTCGACTAAAGGAACAAGGCCCTCTTGAGTCAATTGCCTAGAGGGACGTATCCTTCTCTAGAACAACCGATCAAGGCGTTCTGAACTAGACTCCCTCTATCGAAAGAGGTTCTCAATCGATACAAAATAGTGAATCAACCCTCGACTAAAGCAATCGATCCAATACTATCAATCTATGGTGCTCTATTGACCTATTCGCTCTCATAGGATCAAAGCAGAATCAATAATCTCGACTAAAGCAGAATTGAATCATGAAACGTGCATAGATTGAATATGAACTCAAGATTATCAAGTAAGAGTACTCATACAATCATCCAATCAAACAAACATGGCTAGGGTTCCTCAAAACCTAAGTGAAGGGAAGTTACTCCATAGAGAAGAGAGAGACTGCAGTAAGAATCTTCAGATGATCAGTCTTTAAGTCTGGGCTTGTTCCTCGAGCTTCCAAGACGAAGAAATCCTCCAATTCCACTCTTAGAATGCCCTCAAATCTCCCTCTCTCTCTTTGGTTCGCCCCTTGGGTGTTTAGGATCCAAAACCCAGCTCTCCCTTTCCTTTGGCCTCAATCTGCCTAAAAAACTCGATTCTGGGCAAAACACGGTCGAGGACACGGCCGTGTTTTTCTTTAGCCCGCCCGTGTTTTGCCCCCTGCAGCCCTCATCGGCCAAAACACGGTCGTGCCTAAATATGGACTCGGCCGTGTTTTTCTTTAGGCCAGCCCGGGTTTTTACTGCCGAACCTGTTCCACTATATTCAATGCTTCGTTTCTCCCTCGTCCGGACTCCGAATCCTTCGCCGTTTGATCCTAGACGCTAGTAGTCTCGTCCTCTTTATTTTCATGACAAGATTGCATGATTTGTTTTCCATAAAGTGATGTAGAAATCCATTCTTCTTCTGGTCATGCCCGAGTTTCTTCTCCCTAATCGCCAATTGATCTATGATTGACTTGAAACTTGCGCCTATGCTTCACTTTATGTGCTAGGACCTGAAATGTGACAAAGGAACACAACCTAGCGTAAAATAGGCCAAAGACGCGATAATTAAAGATCAAACAATCAAGAAACAAAGGGGAAAACGTGTGCAAATATCGAGTCATCAAATCCCCCCACACTTAACTGTTTGCTTGTCCCCAAGCAAACCTGACTCAAACCAATGCAACTCTCCAGACCTCTATAGAAACAACAACCCTGATCCTCGGTAGAGGACTTTCTAGATCATAAAGAAGCTTACAAGGTCAACTGGGCTTCTAAGACGTCCCCTATCTCTCTCAATGCGAGTACTAGACTCAAGCAAGGATCATGAGAAGAAGTAGAAGTAAGACGGTCAGTTCATGGATAAAGGGACTCACACCATTCACAACCAAGGACTCGATGTACCGGGGTGCTCTTTAACTTCATTTCACCGTTTGAACCCCTTTTTCACTTTCATTTTACTTCTTTTTTTTCTTTCTCATTCACTTAGCGGGGGTTCCAACTGCAGTCTTTTGCACGGTCAACCCTTATTAGTCGAGCAAGAGCAATTTCTGTACATCTGGCGGTCGCCAGAGTACTTCTTTTAACTCCTTTTCCTCAACTCGTGTGAAGGGTCAATGAAATTAAGGGGGGTTGGAAGCTCTCTCTGTGCCCTTAAAAACACATCCTCAAGTAGGCAAACCGTTTAACAGGTGGTAGTTTTACTTGTACTAGAGACAGCTTAGCTTCACCTTGTAGGAGTACCCCACTAAGGATCACTAAAATCTCTTCCAAAACTCGATCTTGTGCAATGAACGGTGCCACACAAGTTGGGCTTACCCCATGTTTAAGATTTAATGATTTCGACATGGAGGACCAACTGCTTTTCATTTTTCACATGAGCACCCTGTTCGATACACGAGTCCATAACACAATCCAAACAGAGTCACCATTCACATGAATTCAACGGTCATAGCTCCACTAATTCACAAAATCAACTGGCACAGCAGAGAGCTAGATAGGAAAAATCTTATACTTCAACATCCTCCATAGTGCTACACTACCTCCCTAGGTTTCACATTACTATAGAGACTGTCAATTCAAAGCATACTGAGCAGGCAATTTGCAAGGGAACACGTACTTGGAGCCCTCAAATCGAAATTTGGACAGTGGACTAGGCTCCAAGCACACAAACAGCCAACATTCACACACATACATAATCGAACATCCCCCCACACTTAAGCACGACATTGTCCTCAATGGAGGAAAGATAAAGAGGGTAGAACGAAGTTATCAAATCAAGGGTGAATGATGGTGGACGAGGCAGACGGTGCATTCCAGGTGGAGAGAGTAGTCGAAACACAAACACCACACCAAATCTCACAAAGGTTGAGTTATTGACTCTAAAATCAAATAACAAAACTGACTCAACCGAGGAGAAAAAGAGAAAGAAATGCAAACCGACTGGTTGGGTTGCCTCCCAACAAGCGCTTCTTTCCCGTCGTGAGCCGGACGATGGCTCCTAAGTTTCGGTCCACCCCAAAACCTCTTTGAAGTTGAGGTTCTCGTCTATGAGGTGGAGTCTCAAGTCACGAGTAAGTGGTATGACATGTGATGGAAGCTCGTGCACTTGATGCAGATAACGTCTCCACCCTCGAGACCTCTTCTTCTCTTCTCTCGTCTCATTGCCCCAAATCATATATGACAACATCGATTGACCACCATCGCGTCCACCAAGAGGGACCGATGTCGAAGTGGCCTTGGTCTGGCAAAGAGACAGTACAAATGGGCCCTTGCTAAGTAGTTCCTCGAAGTTTGGTTGGGATATTACTTGCAACTCATGGCTGGTGCAGCCCTCTTCCACCTCAACTTAGTCCTCGGCCTAGATGCCAATTGCTTCTTCAACCTCCCTTCCTTGTTCATGTGGTATCACCCCTGGGAAATGATCAAGAACTCCTTCTGCTTCACTTTCATCATCCTCCCTCTGCACCCTTTCTTGCTCTTCTTCTTCTAGCACGGATTGGAGAGCAAGTTGTCAAGCAATTTCTTTCATGAGATCTTCTCGCATCTCCTCACTCATGCCCACCTCTTCAAAGCTCGGTGTGGGATGTGGAAAGGGGTGGTCGGCTAAGACAGGACATTCTTGATCATGATCTTCACGGGAGCTCTCCGTGATAACTTCTGTTTGCTCCACAATGTCCATGTAGCATTCTTCTTCCTCCTCCTCTTCTAGTATGGTAGCAGACGGGTGATTTTGAGCAAGTTGTGCACAAACTTGCTCAACCCGCTCTGGTTGCTTGGATGAGTGTGAAACAGTCTCCTCCGATTCACGGAGGGATGAAGAGTTAGGAGGAGAAAAAGATGAGAAAAGGAGGTCCATCTTGCGATTGCGTCTCTCGGAATCCCGAGCAAACTGCTCCACGAGAAGCCTCAATTCATAGTTTGGATCTGGCTATGGAGTGTAGCATAGCTCTGAAGAATGGCCCGTGAAGGCCGCCATGGGTAACTCCAGCTCCGATGACCCTTCTGGTTGTGGGAGAAAGTCTTCTTGGTAATTAGGTTATTCTTGATATGCCCAGGGGTCTGATTGTTCTCCGTAGTAAGGGGGTTGGTACAAGAACCCGAATCCATAGTCTTCTCCTCCTTGATTGCTCCAGGGAGTCTCGGGGTAATACCACCCGGATGGTGGTGGATACCCCCAATGGTTGGAGAAGCCATGAGGATCCATGATTCAGATCTGCACAAACAATAACAATAACACCCAATTGAAAAGCAAGGGTGAAAAAGAAAATAAAAACGCTAAAGTAACAAACTTCTGCCTTTCCTAATAATGTAGAAAGTCCCCGGCAACGGCGCCAAAAACTTGACTCGCTATGACACAACTCCTAACAATGGCCAAGTGTAACCAATAGAAGGGACTGCAGTATAGTGTCTCAAGTAATAAATATCAAATCCACGGGTCTCTAGAGTTACTATTACTCAGCTTCAGTTCATTATCTAGCAAACCAGATTAAAATGAAAGAACTAAAACTACTCTAACAAACTATAGTTAAAGTTAATCTAATTACAGGTTGGGAACTCACTTAGGTATGATTACCCCTAGCCACTAGCCAGATTAATGATTGATGATCTCTAACCTGTTTCACTTTCATTCACAATGCGGAGAATCCTTGACTAGACCTTGAGTCTCAACTAATGGAACAAGGCCCTCTTGAGTCAATTGCCTAGAGGGACATATCCTTCTCGAGAACAACCGATCAAGGCATTCTGAACTAGACTCCCTCATCGAAAGAGGTTCTCAATTGATACAAAGCAATGAATCAACCCTCTACTAAAGCAATCGATCCAATACTATCAATCTATGGTGCTCTATTGACCTAATAAGGTATTCACTCTCATAGGATCAAAGCAGAATCAATAATCTCGACTAAAGAAGAATTGAATCATGAAAACATGCATAGATTGAATATGAACTCAAGATTATCACGTAAGAGTACTCATACAATCATCCAATCAAACAAACATGGCTAGGGTTCCTCAAAACCTAAGTGAAGGGAAGTTACTCCATAGAGAAGAGAGAGACTGCAGTAAGAAGCTTCAGATGATCAGTCTTCAAGTACGGGCTTGTTCCTCGAGCATCCAAGACGAATAAATCCTCCAATTCCTCTCTTAGAATGCCCTCAAATCTCCCTCTCTCTCTTCGGTTCGCCCCTTGGGTGTTTGGGATCCAAAACCTAGCTCTTTCTTTCCTTTGCCCTCAATCTGCCTAAAAAACCCGATTCTGGGCAAAACATGGTCGAGGACACGGCCGTGTTTTACTTTTGCCCGCCCGTGTTTTGCTCCCAGCAGCCCTCGTCGGCCAAAACATGGTCGAGGACACGGCCGTGTTTTACTTTTGCCCGCCCGTGTTTTGCTCCCAGCAGCCCTCGTCGGCCAAAACACGATCGTGCCTAAATATGGACACGACCGTGTTTTTCTTTAGGCCAGCCCGTGTTTTTACTGCCGAACTTGTTCCCGTATATTCAATGCTTTGTTTCTTCCTCGTCCGGACTCCGAATTAGTCTCCGTTTGATTCCAGACGCTCGTAGTCTCGTCCTCTTTATTTTCGTGACAAGATTGCATGATTCTTTGTCCATTAAGTGAGGTATAAATCCATTCTTCTTCAGGTCATGCCCGAGTTTCTTCTCCCTAATCGCCAATTGATCTCTGATTGACTTCAAACTTGCGCCTACGCTTCACTTTATATGCTAGGACCTGAAATGTGACAAAGGAACACAACCTAGCGTAAAATATGCCCAAGACGCGATAATTAAAGCTCAAACATTCAAGAAACAAAGGGGGAAATATGTGCAAATATCGAGTCATCATATAGACGATACTATATTTCGAGAGCCAGTCCGCGGCTCAATTCTGTTTTTGGTTTGTATGAAGTATACTAAAGAGCCAATCCTGAGCTATTCTTTTCCAAAAGAGTCGAATATGGATGGCCTGATTCCTGCATATTATTAACAAGTTTGATAGCTAGTCGAGAATTAGTATCAAGAATGATACTGCTGCATCCCTGCTTCTGCGCAAGATTCAAACCATGGTAGATCACCCACAGCTTCGCCAAAACGGACAAATCCTCTACAATCTCGGTGACAAACCCTGTGATCTATCTACCTGAGCATCACGAATTAAGTTGCTAGCACCCTCTAACCCGAGATTACCTGTCGAGGGCCCATTAATATTCACCTTAAACCACTCTTCAAAAAGAGCATGCCACCGGACGCTCTTTTGTAACTCGGGTTGTCGGATTCCCTAACCTTATGTCAGCAAGAGTGGGGGAAAACTAGGCCTTGTACCACATGAGAGCCCTCTGCTGAATGGAGTTCGCCAGGGAGGGTATATCAATGCTTCCTCCTCACCCTTGAAAGCAGCGATAAATATGTTCTTCTATAGGCACCAAATTGCCACACTGAAGAACGCATGCCAGCTCTGTCCAGAGGCTAGATTTGACTCCCTCAACAGATTCTCACGGATCCAAACCTCCTGAGTGCTAGTGAAAAAGCCATACTGCTCAGCCTGCGGAATAAACCTTGTCCAGACAAAAGTCGCCTGGGGACAATCTCGGAGCAAATGGGTGATTGTCTCGAGACAGTCACTGTAGCAAGGGGACGCTGGAGATGGAGCACATTTCCTATAGAAGCGAAGGGCATTAGTAGCGATTTTCTCCAAGGCGACCAGCCATGTAAAACAATGAATTCTCTTCCGGGAAGGTGTGCTCCAAATCTTCTTCCATAGTTTCTCATCTTGGTTCGCTTGATGAGGATTCATCATATGAAATGATGACTTCGTGGTGAAGCAGCCATTCGGACAGGGAGAACGGAAAAGAGAATAAGCTTACAGAGTGAGAGAATCCACTGAAATAGTAATGATCTTGTGCTTAATTTCTGTTGCTAGCCATGGTGAGAAATAACTCACATCCCAATTCTCCTCTTCGTCAAGGTAGCTGAAAACTGACTCTGTGATGATCTCCTCGGGATAGGTTTGAGTGTTACCTCTATCAAAGGCACCTGCAAAACCCAGAAATCACCCCAAAACTTAATGTTTTTCACGTTATGAATGTTCCACGCGTAACCCTTCTTAAGAATGTAACATCTCGTTTCGGCAAAACTTGTATTACGGTTGCTAGAATTTCACGATTTAAAATCGAGTGTTTTGATAGTATTTCAACAAAAATTGGATTATCGAGGATCGGATAAGTATACGTATTAATTATATATATAGTATTATATATATATATATGGTGGCTTCTATCGTACCTTGGCTAAAATCTAAGGTACGACATACCTTGAGTAAGAAAACGCTATTTAGACTTTGAATTAATTGGATTTTTTGGCATGATACTATACCCTAACCCTAGATGGGTGAACCCTAGGTCTTAGTTATCTAAATCATTGAGTCTAACCCCTTAGATTGTGCATATAATTTTTTGCATATATTGCGATGAATCATGACTGTTGATTTTGTTTCTAATTAAGTTGATATTAGTGTATGAGATTTATAGAACTAAGACATAGATTTCAATCTTTAAGCGTTGGGGAATAGTACTAGATGCCAAACTCCGGTCAATTCGAGGTCTAGATTACATTTTTTCACTCATGATATGTCGTACCCTTGATTTTACCCAAGGTACGATAGAACCATCCATATATATATATATATATAAAATTACATTAAGCGGCCAGGCCGCATATATATTAAGATTTCCCCTCCCGCGTCCATTATTTCCATCATCATCTTCTTCGGTTGCATTTATTTGGACCAAGAGCTACAGAGAAGCAGAGCAAACACATGAAGCTTCTGTGGAAAATTCCAAAGCTCAATTCTTGAGCTCTAGTGATCCAAAAATCCCGTAAGTAATGCCTAATTCATCTATACATCGTGATTTATCGATTTAGAGCTTTAAAACGAGTTTTTGGTTCAGGAATTTCTTGAATTCTCGATCAGCCAAATTAGGATTTCGGAGTATACGGAAGCCGGATTGAGTCCAAATTTCATATACGAGCTTCCTACAGCGAGGTAATCAATCCTCTAGTTCTAATCCTTGAATTTCGGTTATTATTTAGGTCAGAGCCGGGATTGCTGAATTTAGCTCCGGCCAGGGTTTGATGTGTTTTTATCGAGAATTTGACCCGGAGCCTAAAACTAATATTGACGGGGATACTGCAGGGGATATTAGGACGGCATCGGATTTTAATTCGGGGTTCGTTCGTGAAATTGACGTTTTAGTACGGGAAGGTTAAACCGGTGTTTGAACGACTGGTGAGGGATCAGCACGGCAAACCGGGTTTGTGATGAATTATTTTGCAGGATAAGTTGCAAGAACTGTTAGCCCATTACACGAGTAATTCATGTCGAAATTTTATTTTGATAAATTTTGATAATTAATGTAACACCCGAGATTAATTTCGCTGCAATTGTATGAACAATATGATTAGGCAAAACGTATAGGGTAGGGTGTTACAGTTTGGTATCAGAGCCCGGTTCCCTCTTTTTGCTATTATGGCGTACTATACCCTATGGGAGGTTAAACACTCCTAAGGAGGGGAGTACCGCATAATGACTTAAACTGGGAATTGAGTTTGACATGATTATGTGTATTGGTATGTTGGATGAAATTATCTGCATCATGGTTTTCAAAAATTGAGTTTTGAACTGCTATTTTTTCAAGTAATTATTTTGGGAAAATTTTGTTTTAACCAAGTGAGAGAGTGGGTGAAGAATGAATTTTGTGTGGATCAATCTAAGGCCAATATTTCCTTGTAGCTAGCACGGAAGTTGTGAAAATGTTCCTACTGACCAGTCGAGAGGAGTGGGGGCGGTTGATGCAAGACCGCCAGTATTAGACTATGATAAGATGAAGAGCTTGGGTGGTAGGGACTTCAAGGGAGATATGAGCCCAGATGCTGTAGTAGAGTGGTTGAGAGAGATGGAAGATGTGTTTGATTATCTTTATGCAACCCCAGAGGAAAAAGTACAATATGTAGTTTTTCTCCTAAAGGGGTACGCGAGGAGCTGGTGGTCCTCAGTCTCTAGAGTTAATGGTGAACGATTTCAGTTCACTTGGGAGGAGTTCTTGAGGGCCTTTAAGACAGAGTTTCTTCCCAAAGATTTTATCAGGGCAAAGAATATGAATTCGTCAACCTTAAGTAGGAGAACATGACAGTTACTGAGTACACCATTAAGTTTGTTCGACTACTCTACTTTGAAGATCGGTTGGCGGATACTGAGCATAAGAAGAAGATGAGATACTTACATGGTCTGCCCCTAGGGTTGAAAGAAAAGATCCACAGGGTTGATGAAGAGAGTATGGCCACTATCAAGGAGGCAGCACTTAAGTATGAAGCCTATGAAGTTGAGGGTAGAGAGGAACACAAGGCCAAAGAAGAGGAGAAGAAGACGAAGTTTGGAGTGAGTTATTATGGACCTCGTTACCCATCCAAGAGAGGTCTCAGCGGTTTTGGGAGAACACCGAGTCAATCTATGTCGGAAAAATCATACAAGGCACCAGTTTCCTCAGCCACACCAGCTCCAGTTTGTCAAGTTTGTCAGAAGAGACACTTTGGAGAGTGTTGGAGGTTTTCTGGAGTATGCTTTCAATGCGGCCAGCCGGGTCGCATCATGAGGAACTGTCCTTATAGGGGAGGAGGAAGACCAACTCAGTCCGAACCTTCAGTTCACTTTAGTAGAGCCCCAGCCAGAGGTGGTTACCAGGGAGGCCGTAGTGGATTTTAGAGTGGTCGTGGTAGCTCACAGAGTGGTAGAGGTGGTGGTTGAAATCAGCCATCAGGAAGTTGTACGCAGGGTACCAGAGCACAGGGAGCACCGAGGGTTAATGCAATGACTCGAGGTGAGGCAGAAGTGGCGCCAGAAGTTGTGACTGGTATGCTTTCTATCCTTGAGAAGAAATTATATGCTTTGATCGATGCTGGTTCCTCTCACTCATTCATGTCATATATGTTTTCACATATGCTACGCTTAGTTCCAGATAAGCTAGGTTATACCTTATGTGTTAAAACACCTGTAGGAGATACCTTGAAGGTAGACTCAGTAATTAGAAGTTCCTTCATTTGTGTGGAAGGAGCTTTCCTAGAAGCAGATTTAATTCTGCTACCTTTTGATGAATTTGATGTCATCCTTGGAATGGACTTTCTGGAAACACATGGAGCTGTTGTGGATTGTCAAAAGGAAGAAGTGTTATTCAACACAGCAGATAAAGGTCCTGTTGTATTCCGAGGCATTAAGAAAAAGGAGACTCATGGTTTTCTTTCTGCCTTGGAAGCTTTTCGATTAGTGAAGGAAGGTTGTGAAGCCTTTCTTTCTCAAGTTACTGTTGTAAATGATAAGAAGGTTGAGGATGGAGAGGTGGTAAGGGAGTTTCCTGATGTATTCCCGGAAGAACTTCTCGTCCTTCCACTAGAAAGGGAAGTAGAGTTTGATATGGAATTGGTACCTGGCACAACACCAATTTCAATGGCACCATATAGAATGGCACCAATTGAGCTGAAGGAGCTTAAAGAACAATTGCAAGAATTGCTAGACAAGGGGTTTATTCGACCTAGCATCTCACCTTTGGGTGCATCGGTTTTGTTTGTCAAGAATAAAGATGGCTCCATGAGAATTTGCATTGACTACCGGAGGTTGAATAAAGCAACAGTGAAGAATCGTTATCCCCTCCCAAGAATAGATGACTTGTTTGATCAATTGCAGGGTGCATCGGTCTTTTCTAAGATTGATTTGAGGTCTGGATAGATACCATCAATTGAAAGTGGCAAATGGAGCAACCTCAAAGACAGCTTTTAGAACAAGATATGGGCATTATGAGTTCCTGGTAATGCCTTTTGGACTCACTAATGCACCAGCAGTATTTATGGCTCTTATGAACAGAGTTTTCCATGAATATCTTGATAAGTTTGTGATTGTGTTCATAGATGATATTCTCATCTATTCTAAAAATGAAGAAGATCACAAAACTCACCTTAGAATTGTGTTGCAAATTCTAAGAGAGAAACAATTACATGCAAAATTCTCAAAATGTGAGTTTTGGCTGAAGGAGGTAATATTTTTGGGACATGTAATTTCTGGAAGAGGAGTGGAGGTGGATCCGAAAAAGGTGGAAGCAGTGGTAAGTTGGACTCCACCAAAAGATGTGTCTGAGTTGAGAAGTTTTCTTGGCATGGCTGGTTATTATCGACGGTTTGTCGATGGATTTTCTAAAATTGCTGCACCATTGACTAAACTGTTGAGGAAGAATACCAAGTATATTTGGGATGAATCATGTCAAAAGATTTTTGATGAACTGAAGAAGAAATTGACCACAACACCAGTACTGGCTTTACCTTCAAACCATGGAGAGTTCGTGGTGTATAGTGATGCCTCGTATCAAGGATTGGGTTGTGTGTTAATGCAAGATGGAAGAGTTATCGCATATGCCTCTAGACAATTGCATCCTCATGAAGTAAATTATCCCACTCATGACTTAGAATTGGCAGCGGTGGTATTTGCTCTCAAGATTTGGCGACATTATTTGTATGGTGAGACTTTTAAAATCCTAACTGATCACAAAAGCTTGAAGTATATTATGGATCAGAAGGATTTAAATAGTCGCCAGAGGAGATGGATAGAGTTGTTGAAAGATTATGATTGTACCATTGATTACCATCCAGGTAAAGCTAATGTAGTTGCTGATGCTCTGAGCAGAAAAGGCAAGAAGAATATAACGGATCTGGTTGATTTGAGGGCAATGAATGTTGATTTGGAAGTGGATGGTGTAACAGGGTTACTAGCTCGGTTGAACATTCGACCTTTGTTGCACGACAAAATTCGTGAGAAGCAGAAGGAGGACCCAGAGTTGGCAAAAATCATTCAAGACGTCGAGGAAGGAAAAGAAAGCCCATTTGAAATGGTAGATTGCATATTGAAGATGAATGGAAGAGCATGTGTTCCTAATGTTGATAACTTAAGGAAAGAGATCCTAGATGAAGCTCATTCTTCTGCTCATGCTATGCACCCAGGAGCAACTAAAATGTATCACACGATCAAACCATATTTTTGGTGGCGTGGGATGAAAAAGGAAGTGACTGAACATGTTTTCATATGTCTGGTATGTCAGAAAGTTAAGGCAGAACATCAAGCTCCCGTAGGAAAACTGCAACCACTTCCAATTCCAGAATGGAAGTGGGAAAGAATTACAATGGATTTTGTATATGGTCTCCCATCGTCAAGGGGAAAAGATGCAGTATGGGTTATTGTGGACCGACTGACCAAATCGGCTCACTTTTTACCCATTATATGGAAACCATCATTGGAGACTTTGTCTCAACTATATATTAAGGAGATCGTCAGATTGCATGGTGTGCCAATTTCTATTTTCTCTGATCTAGACCCGAGCTTCACATCTCAGTTTTGGCAAAGATTACATGATGCCTTGGGAACTAAACTACATTTTACTTCAGCTTATCATCCTCAA